ATGAAGGTGTGTATTTTGTTTGAGATGCTCTTTATGACGCGCAGTGCAAGTCTGTGATCCGTATAGTAATTAACACTGACTCCACATTGGAGTTGAAAATCCGGATCTTATATTCATTATCATGCTGAGTAGGGCTGTACACCTTCACACAGACTTGAGAGTAATGAAAGCTTGTCTTGCTTTTCCGATTCTTGCTGCTTTGATATCCTCGTCAGTTCCGTGCACCTGTAGTTGAAACGATGCTTCCCAGGTCGGTTGATGAAGAAGGTTGTTTCTTTCAGGTTCCTCCCATTTGTGCTGATTGTTGTCTGTTGTTGTTGCTGTTGGTGGTGTTGGCCAGGAATCTTCATCACCTCTGTTTTCTCTATGTTCACCTGAAGTCTTATCTTCTCTGGATGCTTTTTCTGCCAACTTGTTGCATTTCGCTTGCATATCTTCCAGTTTGTGTGAAATCAGACATATATCATCGGCGAAGTCCACATCCTCCAAGTGTTTTGTATGGGTCCATTTTATTCCTGTTTCCTCATTGCCCGCTGTTTGTCGCATTATCCAATCTACTGCAATCAGGAAAATCATTGGCTATAGTAGGCAGCCAGCTTGTCTTACTCCTGTCCTCACTTCGAAGGGCTCCGTAAGTTTCCCGTTGTGGATTACTTGGCATGCAGCATTGTCGTACAGCTGTTGGATGAGATGTATTATTGTCGGTGGCACCCCGTGGATATCTTTATTTGGATAGATAAAATGATAAATCGAAAGACAGATGAAAAGTAGATCTAAACTGAATATATATTAAGTAAAGAATTTTCAAGCATCACTTGGTAGGGATTTGTTTTGTTTCAACTTTGATCACTTATTGATGATGTCAGTCAGAGAATTATTGAATACCAGTGAGTACTCTACAGCTGTTTCGTCACAGTTGGGGACTACTTACTGGTGCGCAACCATGATTTCACTGGGGATCCAGGCGAAGACCTCTAGGTAATGAAGGCTGAATTCAGAGTCGCACCAATTCTAACTTCTGTTAATTCGGGATTTCAGCATGATTTTTACAGCCGATCTTATCAGTGAGCACTTGTCCTCACACCCGATCTGAGTGACCCAGTTCGTCACGACTTCTCATTAGAACTCCAGTGTAGAATATAGAGTGAGTGTTTTTTTTAATTATTAAATATAATGCGACATCTGTTCTTAACTTTAATCGTATTTTTACACCATAAGCTGCGTGTTTGGGAATAAATACTTAAATGACATTATATTTGAAATTGAAGCCATTATACAACTTTTGCTTAGCTCTGCAAGCGATATTTTAATTATCAGCGTAGCAGTCTACTAGGTGAACATCGAAATCCACGTAGGAAGGTGTAAACTCCCTGACTAGTTGGGGTGCTCGGGACGGTAAAAGCCAATGGTTGGAAACAATTGGTGACATGGCTCAAATTGATCGTTCTCAGTGGCGCAGATGCATCCACTCCTTTTGACTTATGATTTCCAATTAAATTGTTTTGTTCTCCGTTATTACTATTCCTTTGTCTCACGCCTCTGTTTACTGTCTATATTATGCATTTCTCCTACTTTCTTCTCTTGCTTTGTGTGCTACAAAGAGGGAGTGTGGCGACTTGAACTGCCGCACATATGTGCAAAGTTCTATGTCGAAAACCGACCGACCGACCGAAATCCACCTGGCTAGAGCTTTGTCGCCACCCAGATTTCTTTATTTTACCTTCATCACTAGTAGTTTACCTGCTGAAGGCTATTCCAGGCAGTCTTACCGTCAAATATGCAACTATCAAAAGCCAGTCAAGTTCATATATGAAGAAGAAGGTAAAGAAGGTTCTTAAACTGTCAGCAGACATTAATACCGATTTCTTGATTTCATTTGTCAGGTAAAGTTGATCTTAACACGGGGCAACAAACCACACAAACTGTGTGAAGCAAAATTTGTTTTATTTAATAAGGTGGAATAGACTTTATAATTGGGTTGATCACACACACCAGGTGGAAATCGATGTGACCCATACATTACTAATGGTGAAGAGAGTACATAGACAGAGTTGTTGAATTCAGCACTAAATATTAAGAGATACAACAATGTGTGCCAATACATCATAATAGTACATACTATTAATTAATACAAGTAGGCGTGCTGTTAGCCGAACACATCGAATTCGTTTGGTTACAACTGATTCAGCCCTATTTGTTTTATTCCTCCACGTTCCCAGTGGAACATAGGGCTTCAAACTAGAGTCTTAAAGTTTCTGTAGCAGTGTTTATTTTTACAGGATGTGGTTGCTAGCCTCATGCCCAACCTTTCCTCTTCACCAGCTTTATTTCTGGCTCAGTGAGGTAAAGGAGTGCGTCGGCCGGGGATCGAACCCCGGACCATATGCATGGTCGGCGAGCGCCCTAACCGCTATGCCACCGACGCACGATTCAGCCCTATAAGCTGAGTTAATCCAGATACACTACTGATGGCATTGTCGACAAAATAGAGAAATTACTGTCCAATATCAAGTTCACTTAGATTCGGCTATCAAGTAGTACTGCTTGAAATATATGTAGATTCTCACAGCTCAGATCAATCAAAATTATACACAATTTTTCTATTATTATTTATTCAGCCATTTTATTTCTTTGCATTCTGAGTGAAATTATAGGGCCTCAAGGTTGAGCTTTGGATTTTCAATAGCAGTGGTGTTTGCTTTTTATAAAGTGGGGCTGCTAACCTTAAGACCAAAACTTCCCTTTCTGCCTGTCTTATTACCAACTAAGAGAAGTCTAGGACTGCTCTCCGGCCAAGGATCAAACCCCGACTCAAACAAGTGATTGGCGAGTATTCTACCACTGAACCCCCAACGCACACTTATCTTACTATGTTCCTTATTTTTTTTGATTGGGACTAATGACATCAGACACATCATAGGTTGAGATCTGAATATTTTCATTGGTTCCTAAATGAAACAAACATAAGAGGTATCTTTCCACATCAAACTATGCAATTTAGCAAAAATGACAAGTTTGATTCTTTGCTAAGCTTTAATGCAGTGTATTACTTAGCAAGAATAAACTGTCAACAATCCCGGATAATCAAGTATTGGTTTGTAGGGATTTGGTTGATTGGTTACAGGATTTCATTATGAGCTGGCATTGGTTAGAGAACCATTGGAAAACCAGCTGGGAGTACTGGACAGCTGTTTCGTCAGCCTAGTTTGGGACTCTTATTCAGTAGTACGCACCCACCGGGTTTCGAACTCAGGACCTATAAACCAATACTTGAATATCAATGCGATGCTCACTGGCGACTGGCCCTATTCAGGTAGGTAGTCACCTGGGGTTCCAGTGGGAAGTCGTGATAAGTAGGGTGCAGCAGGTCGAGTGTAAGCACTGGGCCTTGGAGATTAACTTAAGCAAGAGTGTAGTTATGCATGTATCTCATAGTCACGTGCAGAATTACTCAATGAATGGCATTACTCTCCCAGTGGTCACTGGGTACAAGGACTTGGGAGTGGTTGTGCAGCATGACTTGAAAACAGCAACAAACTGTAGAGCTGCAGCCACTAAGGGTTTTCGAATATTATGGGCCATACCCAAGGCTTTTGCGAACTTTGACGCTGATATATTTCGTATATTATATCCGACTTATAGCAGACCTCATTTGGAATACGGGATCCAGGCAGCAAGCCCGTGTTTCAAATACGAAATAGACTTATTAGAAAGGGTGCAAGGAGTAGGAACTAAGCTAATAAAGGGTTTCTCAACCCTCTCATATGAGGAGACGTTAATTCGACTGGGTTTATTTCCACTGTCATACAGACGACTTAGGGGTGACCTAATACTAGCATACCGTATCCTAAGAAATGATTTTGGAGCTAATTTATCTAAATTATTTCTTCCTTCTAGCACCAACCAATTGCGAGGACATCACCTCAAGGTTCAAAAACTACGGTCGAATCTTCTGTGTCTGGAGATCCGTTTTTCGCATCGAATTGTGAACCATTGGAACTCCCTACCGGAACACGTCGTATCAGCGCCATCCGTTGATTCATTCAAGGCGAGATTGGACCTCCTGTGTACAACAAATCGAAAGGATTAACACAGGCATATAGCCTACTATCCTAAATAAATTGTAAACTGTAAATACTCGCCGAAGACATTGGCTGGCGGTTGCGCTATATCGTGCGTTAATTGTCAGAAGTTAGAATTCATGGTCTGGCCATTGGATCGTGTCCCAGTGGCTTAATGGTCTATGATGTCGCCTTGTTACCAGAAGGTCCTGAGTTTGAGCCCTGTTGGTGGGTGAGTACTGATGAAGAGTCCCAAACCAGGTTGACGAAACAGCTTTCCAGTACTCCCAGCTAGTTTTCCAATGGTTCTCTAACCAATGTCAGCCCATGATGAAATCCTGTAACCAATCCCGGATAAATTATGCTCCATTTCGATTTAGAATAGACAAGGCCCATAAATAAATAAATAAATAATTTGTTCATTTTTTTCTTTTGGATAAAACATACAAAAAAAGGAAAACAGTTAAACCATGAAAAAAATAATAATATAAATGAATACGATAAAAGATGAACACACTTTTGGACACTCACAAACACACATGGACACAGAAAACAAGACAGAAACCAGAAAAATATTATTACATGCAACTTTGTAACTGCATTAAGCGATACATTTTTTGAAGGGTGACAAGAATTCGGATGCTGTGTGCGTTGTTTTCACCCTCCCCCTCCACGAAAGAAAATGGACAGTAAATTGATGTGAATGTGTGAATAATACAATGTGTATTATTATTATTACTATTATTATTATTATTCAATATAATTACAATGATGATTTATTTGTCACACATCATGTTTCATATGTATTATGTACGTGTCTGATATCACGATGATAGAATGATTGATGGTCAAGAAAGGAGAAAAAAATAAGTCTAGGAGAGATGAGCAATAGATTTGCATCACTTTTATGTATATATATTCCTTTGTATATCTCTCATCCGTAGTACTCTTCTTCTGCGACATTGGGAATTATGAAGTATCGAAATGAATGGCTGGCTAGATATTATATATTATCAAAAGTGCGTGAGAGTCAACACTGAGTCAACAATGAAATGATGTATCAGTTAAAACAGCTGAAGAGGTCACTTTGAAGAAAAAACAAACGATGCGATAGGGGGGGGGAAATGGTGAATAATCTATTTTTTTATTATTTCGATTTTTATAAAATACATACGAAATACTTAAATGACAAAGAAATGGATATTGCTGAAGAAAAACAAAAATTAGAAAAAAAAAACGAACCAACAAACAACCAAAAATGTCTGATGTTGATTTGAAGTGTGAAATGTGATCACAAAGAGAGAGTGTGAGGGAGAGGGGGATTATTTTGATCTAAGATCAGTTGTTTTCAACTGATGATCAGGTCCAAGGAGTTGATTCAATTGTTTTTCATAAGTATCAATATTTCTTTGCATCACTTTTAGGCACGGACCCATTAAACGTTCAAAACTGGCAACATCCAGCACTAGATTAGTTAAGAAGCGGGAGAAAAATCTCATAAAATTCAAGTATCACTTAAAATAAAATGTTTATATCTTTTTTATTAAAATTATTATACTATTTATTATTAGTCCTCTGGTTTCTCAATGAAATATAGGGCTTCTGGCAGAATATCGTCATTTCATTCTTCGCTCTGATGCCTTTTTGCTAGACGGTTCTATGATAACACCTACTAGCTTTAATTTCCTCATCACATGATTTCCTTCGTGTCACCCTCGGATGCCCAAGTAGTTGTATCCCATTTTGGATTTCACTCGACGGCTTGTGGTGTGACGTCACTCAACGTACTAATTAATTACTTAGGATTTATCTTACAAGCTTTTAAATTAAATTCAGTAGCGTCACTTATTCATTTGTTAGTTTTAACATGAATGACCTTAGAAATCAGCAATATTGAGAGAACGTTCCAAGTTTTATCACGGACTGATGTCAGAGAACCATTGAAAACCAGGGAGTAATGTACAGCTGTTTTGTGATGATTTGAGACTCTTCGCTGTACGTAGGTAAGGTGATTTTCTTTGTGCTTTCCTTGGGGGCTTTTGGTTTGATAGGTTAGCTTGGGGGTGTATGTCTTTTGGTGAAATTCCGTGGATATCCATTCTTTTGGAAGACGTCCATGAGATATTTTTCTTCAATTCATAACACACTAGAGGAATTGCATACCAACACTATTCAAGAGAGCCAAGACTCATTGCAGCACTCCCACCGAAAGACTCAACAGCGAAAGAAGATAAAAACAACATCATCTACAAGATAAATTTTAACAACTGCGAAAAACACTACACTGACCAAAGTGGACGTCCCCTTCGTCCTCTTATCCACGAACATAAGCTAGTCGTCAAAAGACATGATATCCACTCCCTCATATGACTACATACAGACAACCACGGACATCAATTCGATTGGGCCAATGTTCAAATATTAGACAGAGGAAACAACAAAAATGCTAGAGAATTTTTAGAAGCTTGGCATTCCAGTGAATCATCAATCAATAGACACATCGAGATAGACAAAATTTATCAACCAATAAAAAAGAAACCTAACACACAAGGGGTCAAAGTTCAAGTCAAAGAAACAATGAGTTACAATACAAGTAACCTAGAAGGTGTGAAAACGCACAAAAACAACCAATCACGTCCAAGGTCACCGGGAGAAATGAATAATAAACTCGTGGAGAAATCTAAAAGCTCACTTCAACACATTGAAGTATGCGCTGAAGATGTCACCCAGTAGGGTGATGAAAGCTTCGCAAATTAACTATCTGACTCAGAGAACACAACCACATCACAATCATCCACCTGAGCTACAAACCTCTATCATATCTAAAAATTAAAGTTTTATAATACCATATTTAGCACGGGTTTCGTGTGAAGACGAAAATGTCTGAAAAGTATTTATAAACATTTCAAATCAGTAATCGAACTGTCAAATACAAGCTAAGTTTATTATCCATGTGTTATCAGTTATATTATCTACTTATAATTCCTTATGTTATGAATGGTATACGAGCTTGTCGTGTAACCGGAAGGTCTTGCATTCGAATCCCAGTGGGTGCTACTGCCGTCGATTTCAGAGCTAGGGTGAAACAGCTGACTGTCTAGTAGTCCCTGGTTTTCAATGGTTCTCTAACTTATATCAATCCGTGATCAACTCGTGAAAAGCATAACTAACCCTTACAAACCAAACTATAGAACATTATGTTTCTGCCAACCTTCGGATTTTTGTGGTTTCATTAGTATTTATAAAAGGAGCTAAATTGTTGTAGTAGTATGCATAAAAAGGGCTGAAAATTCCATTCTGTATAATTACTATTGTTTGGAATAAAGCGATCATTATTATCATTAAACCTGTTTTCAGGCCAGTTATTAGTGTTAAAAGAGTTGAAGATTTAGAAAGCGTCTTGTTGATTTCAGGATGATGTTCCTTAATTTTTGTGTTCTGATATAATTATTATCGTGGACACTGAAATCCAGAGGATGATTCAAGTTCCATTTGAAACTGCTTAGAAAAATGAATTTACATTCCACTGGTGTCACCACATAGACACAAATCCATCAACTAACGATACAAACACTAAAAAGGTGACCCTCCTGCAACAGAAGGAGGTTATCATTATTATTCTTGAAACCCAAGGGTCCCTATCTGTTTTCATAATAAACGACCGTGAGTGGACGGTGTGGTATAATTATAAAATACTATCATATTACGTGCTCGATAACAGGCGTAGGTGTCTATGTGGTTATTGAAAGCTTCCTAGGTTGAACATCCTTTGATTTATGAGTTTAACTTAGGAAAAATGACTTGCTACAGGATAGAGTTTCCTGGGGTTCTGGTGAGAAGCCGTGACCAGTGAGGTCCATCTGGTGAAGTGTGAGGATGTATGTTCCACCGACGACATTGGTTGGCGTCGCGCTAAATCATGAATTGGTAGAAGTTAGAATTCGTGGGCTGGCCACTGAATCGAGTCCCAGTGGCTGAATGGTATACGAGTATGCTTCCATAAAGTAAATTAACATTTCAGAAATTAGTTACAGGATTTCATCATGAGCTGGCACTGGTCAGAGAACCATTGGAAAACTAGCTGGTAGTACTTGACAGCTGTTTTGTCCTAGTTTGGGACTCTTCAGCAGTACGCACCCACTGGGGTTCGAACCAAGGGCTTTCTGGTTAAAAGGCGAGAGCATAGACCACTAAGCCACTGGGACCCGATCCAATGGCTCATGAATTCTAACTTCTGCCAATTCACGATATAGCGCAACCGATTGCGCTCGCGAGCTCGCCTTGTAACCAGAAAGCCCTAGATTTGAACCCCGGTGGGTTCGTACTGATGAAGAGTCCCAAACCAGGAAGAAACAGCTGTCCAGTACTCTCAGGTTTTCCAATGGTTCTCTAACCAATGTCAGCTCATGATAAAATCCTGTAACCAATCAACCAAATCCCTTGAAACTAATACTTGAATTCAGAAATAAATTTGCAGTTTACACAGTTCAAGTAGATGAAATTTCACCGCATCGCAATATAATGATATGCTTGTTACTGTAATTGGTATTGAGGAAGACAAGCATATTTGCATAAAACTAAATATACTACTGATTGGTTGAGATGAGTAGTTGAATGGCACTCACATCAGCCGGTATTACTTGATAGCCAGATCAATGTGATCTACACACCATCTGACGTCCGTTTCGCTGGTTCTGAGCCGCGCTCATCAGCTGGTGGATGTGTGTGTGGTATACAACTAATAACGTCAATCAGTCAGCAGTACATCGTTTTATGTATTCACGACTGCTTTATCGATCACATATTGTGATCCACACGAGTTCGGTTTCCAAAGGGAGCTATGGTGAAAAATGCACCAGTCGAAGTGTGTAAATAGCGAGCTAAATTTGTGGTGTTATCCGTTTGTCCAAGTAGCTAACCAGAAGTCAGATTGTTTGAATAGACCTAGCTCTCTGAGCTGAATGAATCCAGCTGGATACACCGCCAATGAGCTGTCGAAACGGCTGCTCCTCACTTTTTAGTTCAGATGACTTCGATCTGTCTGGTAAACACTACTGGTTGATGTGGGCGGTATACAACTACTAATCTTAACCAGCCAGTAGTGCGTATAGGGGTATGTTCCAGGAAAATAAGGAAGGCCCTTGGTAATCAATAACGTATGCATAGGTTGAAATTCTAAGGATATTGTGAGTTACTGATGTGTAGAAATGCAAGAACTGTATGAAATGGTATTTCAGCAACCTTGTTCCTAGTCAGTCAATTAGATGCACTGGCTAATCCGTGATTCATTACAGGAATATAAAAATTTATAGTATTAATATTATTATTGTTTCCTTTAATTCCTAGACGAACATAGGGCTTCAGCCACGCGTCTCCATTGCGTTCGGTTCTTTGCTAGAGTCTTCATCTCGCTCCAAGTCTGCCCACACGTTCTCATCTCCTGTTCACATGACCTCCTCAAAGTCACCCACCCTCTCACTGACGACCAACTCGCCGCTTCCAATACAGTCGGGTTCCACTCGAGCAATGGCTTGTCTAGTGATGTCACTTGATGGTTTGTTTCCTGAGAGTATGGCCAGCCAATCCATCTCCATTTCTTCCTGCCTATTTGTTTCACAATTGGTTCCTGGTTGGTTGGTTCGCTCATTGCCAGAGATCCCTGCCTGTTGCTGATATTTTCTGGCCGGCCATCTGATCGTGAATAGCATTGAGCGAAGACAACTGTTAATGAATGTCTGTAGTTTGTTTGAGATGCTCTTAATGACGTGCAGTGCAAGTCTCTGATCCATCCGTATAGTAGCACTGACTGACTTCACATTGGAGTTGAAAATCCGGATCTTATTTTAATTTTTATGCTGAGTGCTGTTGACCTTCACACAGACTTGAGAGTAGTGAAAGCTTGTCTTGATTTTCCGATTCTTGCTTTGATATCCTCGTCAGTTCCATTCGCCTGTAGTTGAAACGATGCTTCCCAGGTAGGTAGGTGGGTAAAAGAGGTTGTTTCTTTCAGGTTCCTTTCATATATGTTGATTGTTGTCTGTTGTTGTTGTGGCTGTTGGTGGTGTTGGCCAGGAATCTTCATCACCTCTGTTCTCTCTATGTTCACCTGAAGGCTTATCTTTTCTGGATGCTTCTTCTGCCAACTTGTTGCTTTTCCCTCGCACATCTTCCACCCATGTGGGAAATCAGACATATATCATCAGCGAAGTTCAGATCCTCCAAGTATTTTGTGTGAGTCCATTTTATTCCTGTTGCCTCATTGCCCGCTGTTTATAGTAATATATGATATCGTACTTAGGTGGTTCAGGGTTTGATCCCGGCCTCCGACGCACTCCTTTACCTCGCTTAGCCAGTAATAATACTGGTAAGGAGGGAAGTTTAGGCATGAGGCTAGCAACCCCATCCCGTAAAAAAAATAAAGACTGCTACCGAAACTTCAAAGCTCTAGTTCGAAGCCCTATCTTCCACTGGGAACGTAAAGGAATAAAAAAAAAACTTAGTAGACATCGTGTATTTGGATACACTATTGTCTGCTTAATAACTACAAATGATGACAATACTACAGCGGTATAACCAACCACTTACCAGCCACTTTAGTCTGTCCTACTGCATAGGCTGATGCAGCTCTTGGTCGTTTGGTGATAAGTGCCAGTTCTGAAATACAAATAAGAAAAAAACAGCAAAGGTATGAAAACTGAAGCATTTATTTTCAACACTGAGCAGGACATAAATAAATATTCATCGTGTGCTTAGTGTTAGTTATTTAAAGGTCACCGTTAGAAAGTGAGGAAGAAATACAACATTTTAGTTCACTTAGTTAGTTTCTTCTAATCACGAAATATACCCATTTATTCATGCAGAAAAACTTAGTCCTTTTTCTGTGTTCAGCAAAGAAATATTTCTTTTCAAGTGACTTTATTTTCAAGCGACTTTACAGTTGTATTTGCATTACTGGATGGCAGTACAAATTGCTCAGCAGTCAATATACACATATGATAAGAATAAAGATAATTAACTTCATATTTTAGGAGGGTAGAGATGAAGTGTATGCATAAATGAGCGAATAGGTATTTAAATGTGAAAAGCAGATCAAGTGTTGTCTAAAAGATTAAGAGTACTATGATGATAACTATAGAGAAGTGATATTTACACACCAAACAAAATAAGTTTTTATAAAATTATTGTTAGCTTTCAGAAAAAAAGGATTTCTCTACAGACTGATGATGATGAGAAGATAAATGAGGATAAAAGTGAGCTAGACAGATAATTCTTTTGTTTTCTCCTCTACCCGACAGCTCCCAGTTTCCTACTTTTGTAAATTCATAGTATACAGAAATTGCGATTCTCAACAGGCAATTAATTTGTTTCAAGTTTGGTCGATTGATGTTAGTAAGAGTACAAGTGAAGACCAGAGAGTACTAGGCATTTGTTTCGTCCTGGTCTGGGACTCTCAATCAGTACCCAAGGCAAACTCGTAGACCATTTAACCACTGGGTTCCAATCAAAGGGCCCATGAATTCTCACTTCTACCGGTTCATGTCTGCAGCACGACAACCAGCCGATGCCTGGGCTTTCCATTTTCGACCCGGTGGACTCCAATGATCATGAATTCGCACTCGAATCCCCAGTGAACTTCGTCCTCTGGCCAGTAACTAGAGTGCATCAGATTAACTTTTGACTTGCTTGCCTTGTAACCAGGAGGTCCTGGGTTAGAACTCCTGTGATGCATACTTTTGAAGAACCTCAAACTAGGAAAGAAGTTGTTCAGTAATCTTTGGTTCTCACTAGTTCTTAAACTGACATCACTCTGTGGTCAAACTTGAAACTGCAATTCGATGCTACCGACGACTCATTGGTTCATAGGCCAATAAAAAGTCTTTGAGCAGAACAAGTAGCAGCAAATCTCTTAAAGGAGTTGATGTTCATAAACAACTGCAGTGAAATGATGATTCATGATGTTTCAGTTTCTTGAGTTCCGATTGGAACATAAGGTTCCAGGCTTGAAATTTCAGTAGCTGTGGTGTTATTTCTACTAGATGGGGTGGCAAGTCTCGCTTGCAAACTTCCTTGTTTTCTGAGCTTGCTATCAAATATTAAAATGGGCGGTTTAGGTACGCCAGGAATCAAAGTTCGGATGATGTACTTGGTTTGCGAGCATCACACCACTGAACTGTCAATTATATTAGTTTTCTTGGTGCCATATATGTAGTGATACTATAGAAATGTCATCAGTGTAATGGCTAAACTTAAACAGAGTTTGATTTGCTTGTTTACTGAAGGTCATGGTGGTAGATTATTCGACTTCAGGATATGAGACATGACAAAATTAATCCTGTAAGCTTCGGTCCATTCCACCCAATCTTCTAATTCTATAGAATTCCCGCTTATTACATCTTATTGTTAACTGATTTTTAAAACTGCAGCATAGCTTGTTTTGGGTTAATATTGTATCGCAAGCATATGAATGTTAAAAGAGTGTATCTGTGTGGAATCGGTATCCAGTACTCAGTGGATATATATCTTCAGTGCAATATTTAGCATAAAGTGAAATGATTTAAATTTCTTCTTGAGTGATATAATTGATTGGGATAATGTCAAAATCTTAGACAGAAGAAACACCAAAAGTGCAGTCAGGGAATTCCTAGAAGCCTGGTACTCAAACGAAAATGCAATTAACAAACACGTTAATATAGACGAAATATACCAACTAATAAAAAGTAAATCACATGTGACGAGGAAGTTTAAAATCCAAGTCAATAGAAAATGGTCAATACATATGTAAAGATGGTTACCGGGAGACGGACGCAATTATATCACTCATGAAGAAATTTAAATCATTTCACTTTATGCTAAATATTGCGCTGAAGATGTTGTCCAGAAGGACGACGAAAGCTCCACAACTAAACCAACCAGCTCAGAGAACACTATTAATTGCAAACTATTGAGTTGAAAAAAACAGTTATTGGTATTTTTTTCTCTCGATAACATAAAATGAAGGCAAATAAACAAAGTGAGAGGTTAACAAATGCTCAATGTTTGGAAACCTAAAGTAAACAAATAACTTCAAAGGACCTGACAAAAATATGTGTGCATGTACAATAAATCTTTTGTTTTGCTACATTTGACCTCAAAACGACCTAGTTTTTGAAAGCGGTTTGTTTAAACCAATTATCTATCGTGTTTGAGTAACATAAGGGAGTAGAACGAAAAGGGGGTGTAGAGTGGGGAATTTTATCCCACCTACTTGTAGATACAAAAAAGGGTGAATTATTTTTTGTGTAAAATCTCAAACATATGTCAAACAAATTCATTTTTTCCTACAAAAACCGACCTTGAAATATTTCCTCTTCTGTAACTTTTTTTTAATATCGCTCATTATGACAAAATTATTCGTTAGCTTCATCAGTTTAATTTAAAATAGTTAATAAATCTTTTAGATTTGGTGAAGTTATTTCAACAACACAATTATAATCAGTGGGTGGGTAAGAATAAATTACACAGAGGGTGTAAGTACCGATGAAAAGACGTAAATTATAAGATGAATCTAATGTTCAAGATGTTCGAAGATTTTTCCCTTCTTTATCCGACTTAGCTCCCCAGAGTCAAAATGAAGACACAGGTAGATCCAATGTCATATTCAAATGAATTGTCGTCAAGATTTGACAAAATAGTTCTAAAATATTTGGGCGCCGAGTGAGAAGTAGACATTTGTAAAAATTATATACTTGGAAAATCTCAGCGAGATTGAAATGAGTAATTCCAACGTTTCGTTCGGCAATCTGGTACGAACTTCTTCAGGGAAATTAATCGAAATTAACATAACAGAGGTTTATACATAAAAGGAACATCACTTGTTTTTAAAAACTTTGTCCAGTGATACAGCCATTGACTGGGTATTGGTTTTCAGGAGAACCAAACACACCCATCCCTGCCTCTTGCGAGACGAGACTGGCATGCAGGATCATCCTGTGGAGCGACCACTCATTTCTTAACGTCCCCATAAGAAGATATGGACAGTCGAGAATTTTGACCAAGTATTAATAATTAGTGATACATATCCATTTTTTATTTATTTATTAATAAGGATTTCCTATGCATCAGCTAACATCACGCCTTCATGTCTGTTCAAACTGTTAGTATCTAGAATTTTAAGATTAGACGTATTTTCAAAATTATGTTGTTTAGGATTAGAGTTTAGTAGAAGCACCCTGTCGGACTTATTGCTTTGTCCTCTTCCTGAAGATTGAGCTGCTTTATTCGACCTAATGGAGTTGTCAGGTGACTCGACAACTACGGATTTAGGATATGCATTCTGTTTACCCACACACACATACACACTCTGTTTAAAGTGTTTAACAAAGGTAGACCAATATTTGTAAGTCCGAGGTCAAATTTTGATCACAGCTCATAAAATTTTGTTTATTATACTTGTTGAATGACTCATGATTGGACAAAGTTTTTAAAAACAAGTGATGTTCCTTTTATGTATAAACCTCTGTTATGTTAATTTCGATTAATTTCCCTGAAGAAGTTCGGACCAGATTGCCGAACGAAACGTTGGAATTACTCATTTCAATCTCGCTGAGATTTTCCAAGTATATAATTTTTACAAATATCCAATGTCATAGTTTGTCATTGTAAGGCGAAAACAAATTACTCACCTCCAAAATAAGCGCCTTTACCAACTCGACTTAATTCAACTTCTTTTGAGTTCTACAACAAAAAATTTTAAGTTATACGGTTAGTTTAGATAAATACATCTTTCTTTCAAAAAAAAATTGCGCATAAAAAGACATGACATGCGGCCGCAGATCTCACATTCTTATATGAGGCCAATCAATTTAATGCAGAAATGTTATTGGGAAATTATAAACTTCAATGCATAATATGAAATTGTTATCTTTGCATAGGAACTAATTGTCATGGCTCAGTAGCGTATTAGATAACTGTTTCGTAATTGGAATAAGTGACCTTGATAAGTGTCTCTTTTGAAAGCATTGTTACCTCAAGAAAGCTGATCACATAAAGTTGAAGACTCTGAAGTTTCATCCCAGTTCTCGTCACTACCAAAATAGGCACAAAAGACATTAAATATTCTGGATTAGGTCTTCAGTGGTTTTGTGGGCACATACTTATTGCATTTGTTCCGCTGGCATCACTTCAACTGGCTCCACGACTTGTAGTTCGAATCACTGGCAGTAACCACCACCAGGTTCGAACCAGGACCTTCCGATTACAAGGCAAGTTCGTATACCGGTGGCTGATGGTCAAACCTTGGTGGTGGGTGTTACTCAGTGATTCCGGAACTACAATAACTGGCTCACAGCTGCTCACAAACTCTCTTTTTCTGTCTATGTATTCTTCTCATGTCAGCCTCGGATCATCCAACCGTTGCGTCCCACCCGGTGTCCTCTTGATCGCCTACGTAACTTGTAGTATCGCTTGAATGTCTCCTCAGCTTATGTCCGATTCAACTTCATTTGCTTCTGCATATTTCTTGGGCGATAGATTCTTTGTTGTTTCGTCGATAGAGTTCCTTGTCGCTAATCCTTTCCAGTCGACCAGCTAATCTTTCGTATCGGGTTAATGCAGGTTGTCGATGGAAGTCTTCAGCAGTCGGTTGAAGACGCATGGCTCCAGGTCTCTGAGCCATACGGAAGCAAAGACTTGATATTATTAGTGCTAAATGCTGTAGGTTCTCGCAGTAATTTCAGAGCATTGGACACATGTATGATTTCTTCCTTTATTCTATTTTCTTTGAAGACCCCAAACAATTTACCTGTAGACAGGGTAGAAGCACTTTAGACGTTGCAGCCTTCTTACACAACAATATCGTCTCATCATTAGATAAAGGTGCCAAATACGTCCGCTGCATGTTTCTCGACTTCACTCCTGCTCTCGACTCTGTACCTAGATATCTCTTGCTAAATAAGCTCTCTTTGACAAAAACTGAGTCCTGGGTCACTAACTGGTTGCATTCCTACTTCTCTAACAGAATGCAGCACACCGTATACAAAGGTAAATCCTCCTCTGCTGCACTCACTGAAGTTGGTGTCCTTGAAGGTGCAGTACCTTCCCCTCTTCTCTTTTCTTTCTTTCTACATGACTTACCATCTTCAAATAACATTAATTTTGTCAAATATGCTGACGACCTGACTGTATCTTTGCCTGTCAAATGTCAAAGTGACTGCTCTAAACTAAATGACTTTCTATCAGAAATCAGCCACTGGTCCAAGGAAAACGGTCTTACCCTAAACCTCTCCAAATGCCAAACAGTCAATTTCACCTTTAGGCATAAATCCAACCTAAACAAACTGGTTGGCTCTCACGAGGTGTGCAACATAGAAGGCACTGAAATAGAAACCAAGTCGGAAATTAAGTACCTAGGCATCATTCTATCTGCTCATCTTCCCTGGTCGTCTCATATCTTGGCGATTTCTAAGAAAATATTCCGTCTTACCTTCTACATCAAGAAGTTAAAACATTCTGGTATAACCCAGCCCTTACTCCTACAATTCGTTAACTCTCGCATCCTGCCTATTATTCTCTATTTTTCCCCCTTAGTTTTTCCCGGGCTACTGAAGAAAGACTATAACATTATATTACGCAGGATGTTAAAGGATGTTAAAAGAGTAAGCAACGTGCCACTTAACCAGCTTGTTAATATTCTGGTTGACAGGCACTTGGACTCATGTGAAAAATCAGCCAAATCCATTCTGTCTTATTCACACCACCCTCTTCATTCACAACTCTCCGCTTGCATCTCATCAGGTAAAACCAGAAGCCTATATAGAAAACTATATGCTCGCTCCAGCAAGTACAAAAACTCAACCACACCCCTATTTGGCTCGTGTTCTGTGCGGTAAAGAAAGCACTAGGCGTGACACCTGTAATTCATTAAATAGTCAGTAGAACAACTGGACCTCGTCTTTCCAGCTCATATCATTTATGGGTACAACATTTTCTTTCTTTCTTTTCCTTTTCTCTCTCTTTTTTTCGGTTATGTGCCGCTTTGTTTCTTTCTCTCGCTTACGCCATTAAATATCGCAACTCCTACTTTTCTAACACCTTCAAACACTCTGTTCAATTTCGGCTTTCCTACGTACATATCAATTTGTTGTTGTCATAATGAACTGAGATTTCCTTAATCTATGTAGAATTCTATTTATTGATAATGTACTAACTGGATGCAATACTGTAGTAAAAATGCTGAGAATTCCATTCTGCATCACAAGTATTGTTTTGGAATAAAGCAAATTATTATTATTTCTCGATGTTCACTTGAAATCTGGTCTTCTCTGTCTCCTCTGCCAATTTCCTGATTTTCGTTTGTAAATCTTCAACTTTATGCTATATGAGATAAAAATCGTTCGCGAAATCCAGATCTTCTTGGATCCTTTTTCATTTCGACATATGCTCATCTTCTGACTACTCACGGTCTATTGTATGATCTAGTTCACCGTACTCAGGAAGATAATCAGTGGTAGCAGGCCAAACACTTCAGTGAGTCTTTCACTGTGAATTACTAGGCATGTAACAACATAATTTAGCTGTTGAATGATGTTTATAAGTTTTTTTTGACACTCTGTAGTGCTGAAGCATCTGCCATATTACTTTGTGGTCAACACTGTCGAGGGTGGCAAGGTTGAGGTAGAGTGTTGGCTTCCATTTTAGGTTTAAAACGTTCTATATGACTGGCAAAAATATATTTAAATTATATATGGCATTAAATAAGCTAGACATTCGCCTTACCTCTTTCACAATAATTTTAACAGTTCCAGATTCAATGATGAACATCTCTTTACCAGTTTCACCTTGTGATATGATAGTAGCACCATCTTGATATACTCTTGACTGTAGGGCATCAGCAACATTTATGCGTTCATAACTACTCAACTCTTTTAGCAGCGGGACATCTTCAAGCAGTTCTACATATGCCTGGCGTTTATGAAATGCAGCTTTTAAAACAATCCGACGAAATGTACTTCGATCCATTAGCCATAATATACCATCTGTGGCAGCGATTATTGATGCTGCTCTAGATGTGTTGTACATTAAGGCCAATTCTCCAAAAGATCCTTGTCCATTATACGATCCAACTTTCTCGCCAAGTTGCCCATCGGTACTGTTGGAATTTCTGACATAGATATCATATGTTCCTCTGAAATTAAAAGATGAAGTCAAAACAGTACGTTGGATAGTTGATTGCTGAATATGTTTCATTAAATATAGGATAAATAAAGATTGTATTTACGAAAATATTAACAACAGTTATAAGGAGTGATTAATAATAGTATTAACCTTATTCTGGCCAAAATATGTATAAAATTTACAGAGTCCTTAGTAATCTTGTCTAGGATCTCCGGCTAATGTAGTAATCGGTAGTACATCACGTGATGCAGTGTAGTTTGATCTGCAGCGTAAATCAATTCCTTAAGACATTTTTCTTGTGTCTGGGAGTAATGAGCAATATTAGGGTGAAAGCCATTTTAAAATGAGCGTAAGTACAGTTTGTGACCTAAAGACATAGCTGAATTACCAAGTGTTTGTTTGCGAGGAACTGATTGGTTAAAGGCTCGATAATCAGCTGACATCAGTTAGAGAACCACTAAAAAACTAAGTGGGGTACTGGACTGTAACAACAGAAGACAAGGGCCAGCCAACAGATCGTTTATTAAGGAAAATCAACACATATTTATAGATTTTAATATATATTATTGTAAATTAGTGTTAGTAGAAAATACAGTCTGTTGATTGGTTGTTTTTCACAGAAAGTTAACCTTGCATCTCTTTGTGGCTGTGTCAGATCATCCATATGCTAACTGTATCCGCCTACTCAAAGCCTTTGTTCTCATTTTCTCACCACCAATATTGGGGACATAAACATTGACGTCAATTACTGTCTACCGACTTTGGCAAGCAGCCAGCTGTCATCACAGGACAACTGTTCCGCCCTGTTTTACGGCCCTTCATCAGTACGCACCCATCAGGTTCGAACACACCACCTTCTAAGCTCGCCTTGTAGCTGGAAGATCCTGGTTTCGAAACCCCCTAGCTGGTGCATGCTGCTGAAGAGTCCCGAATTAGAACGATAAACCTCTCCAGTATCCACTGGTTTTCCGAAGGCTCTCATGACCGAATCTGTAACATTGATGAATGATTAAAAGAATTAGAAATAACGAAAATGTGTGCATTATGCTGGAAAGGGGAATTCAGGTAGCGCAGTGATTTGAAAAGGCTGCTAGAACAATGAAATTAGAAAGATATGTTTATCTCTCTTTTCGTCACTAGTTATCACAGAAACGTTACTTCTCTTTCACTGGAACTGTTAGGGGTTAGTTTCAGAGAGAGAAGCTAGCTTTGCTACCAAGATATATTTTATTCATCTGGGCATTTTGAACTTTTAATGTACTGCTACATCTTGGCTTCCTGATATGTGGGTACATAGAAAAAGAATGTGACCATTATTGCTTTCTTCATCAACAGTGACAGTTGGTTTCAAGGAACTATAAGAAGAAAGCCTTGAACTGAAATTAAGTGCATGCTAGTCTTCATCTATGAAGAGAGTTTAAGATCTGAAAGGAACACCTAACATCTAGGGTATATGAAATGACTTTAGCTTGTCGGTGATAGGAAGCTGCTGAAAGTGGAATCAACAGTTTTAGCCACTAGTTATTGAAGGGAAATGTTGGATTTTGTTATTATTTTGACATCATAATTTTGCTGGATAGTTTTCAGAGTCATTCAACAAATAAGATTACCCTGTATTGAAGGCAGATAGTTATACTCTCGGTCGGCATTCGATTCTGTCGACCGAGAGGTTCTCTGGCGATGCTTGGCTGCCGAGAAAATACATTGCACTGATTAAGGCACTCTACTCGTACTCATGCAGCCAGGTGAGGGCTTACGGCGAGTTGTCATCTGAAGTGGTGACGACTAGTGGCGTCCGTCAAGGATGCCCATTATCCCCATTCCTATTCAACTTCATCATAGACGTACTAATGGACTTAACCCTAACTCACTTCAGAGACTCAGGGATTGACTTGCTACCAGGGAATAATCTCGTTGGCTTAGAATATGCAGACGATATAGTCCTTCTAGGCGAGGACGCTGACAAAATAGAGCAGAGTCTTCTGAACACCTTGAGCTGCAATCTAAGAATGTTTGGCATGCGATTCGCTCCCGCCAAATGCAAGATGATGTTACAGGATTGGACTACACCGACTCCTAGATTAGAAATAGGAAGTGAAGTGGTAGAGCACGTTGACCGCTTCACTTACTTGGGAAGTACCATCAGCCACCAACGGGTTGATCTCTGACGAAATCTCAGCACGGATACAGAGGGCTAGTTTCGCATATGCCAGTTTACGCCGTCTCTGGCGTAGACGTGATATCCGACTATCGACCAAAGGGCGTGTGTACTGCTCATCAGTCCGCTCCGTCCTCCTTTATGGCTAGCTGTGAGACCTGGCCATTGAGAGTGGAAGACATGAAAAGATTAGCTGTCTTCGATCATAGGTGTCTGCGTTCTATCTCCCGTGTGAAGTGGTATAATAAGGTGAGCAATATTGAGGTTAGGCATCCGTCGAGTGCTAGGTAAGGAGGGGAAATCAGTCGACGAGGCTGTGAAATTACATCGACTGAGATGGTTAGGACATGTGTTACGTATGCCTAGTCATCGCCTTCCTCGACAATGGGCAATGTTAGCTGATATAGGGTCAGGCTGGAAAAGAGCTAGCGGCGGTCAAACGAAAACATGGCACCAGTCAATGAAATCTACAACAGTTAGTCTAAGCCACGTGACTGGTTGGGGTCCTCGGGACGGTAGAAACCAATGGTTGGAAACAATTGGTGACATGGCTCAAAATCGTTCTCAATGGCTGGCGCAGATGCATCCACTCTTTGTGATTCATGATTTCCAATGAAACTGTTTTGTTCTTCGTTATTACTATTCCTTTGTCTCACACCTCTGTTTACTGTCTCTATTATGCATTTCTTCTACTTTCTTCTCTTGCTTTGTGTGCTACATGGAGGGAGTGTGGCGACTTGAACTGCCGCACATATGTGCAAAGTTCTATTTCGAAAACAGACAGACTCGATATTGGGTTGCGTTGTCTATTTCACGTTTAAAATCATTCTATCCAGGCAATAATCCACATTAGTTCGGCATTTTCGAAAAGACTTCGACTGATAGTTTTGATACAGAGAGCTCACTTAAAGTTAAACTCAGTCGGCTTTAGTAATAAGTAACTTCTTGAACTGGACCAATATCCAATACTATTTTGAAGTTTTCTTTTTCACCGCCTAACATGTCCCTTAGGATTTAAACACACATGAAATAGTTCAATTTTCAATGGCCATTTAGTAGGTAAAGTTGCTAATTAACTAGGAACTAAATGATTTTCAGTTTTTTATGTTTATATATTCTGTCTATTTATTTACACCTCAGCTTTCTGATATTCATATGAGGTGTCAATGCAATCTGCTTTAATTATCACATCGATAGAAATTGAAACAAAACGTAATAGATGAGGATTTAGAACACATATGACTCATTACGCTTGTTATTTGTGGAGAAACATGATAACGAAACGCGTGTACCTCTATTATAAATTAGTTATATATAGTTTATATAAATGATATTGGTTAAATCACGAACTAATATGAATTTGGGGGACCGTTGACAACCAGGTAGTACTGTAGAGATGTTTCATCCTAGTTTGGGACACATCAACAGTGCATTTCTGCGACCCATCACGGATCAAACCCTTAACCACCAGGACACAAAGCAAGCTCATTGACCATCAAGCTAATGTGAGACGGATTAAGGAGGATGTACTGCGTGCACATCCCAAACTCAAGGCGAGACAGCTTTCTATTGCTCCGCGGTTTACGGTGGTTCTTTGACTGACGTCAGTGTGTGTGATTTAACTTCTTGAAACCAGTCAAATCCCCGCAAACAAAAACTTGGTAAACAGTTTATTTTATTGAAAAGAATGTTTTTCACATTTCCAGCAGCATTGGTTTCGCGTGGCTGCTACTGCACATGATTGGCATAGATTCGATGAACAAAGATTCACCGATCAACATATCTCTCTCAAAGATATCTTTTCTTGATGTTCAACTAACGAGACGCCAACAAGACGGAACATTAAAAAGACCCATCTACAGAAAGCCAACGTGGAACGGACAGCTCACTAACTTCTACAGTTGGGTGCCTCTATATACTAAACGAAACCTAATCTGTTCATTATGCCACAGAATACGTAGAATTTACAGCCTGGACGCCATAGAAGATGAAATGAACACTCTTAAGAAAATCCTCCTTGAAAATGGCTATCCAGAAAGATTTATCACAAAATCAATGAAACCCAGACCAGAGAATCCGCCCACACCCAGTGCTCCAAAAAGACTTCCCTATATGAACCTACATTTCAATGGAGACCAATCTACAGAAATACTGAGAAATCGGCTCTCCCGCTCATTGAAGAAAACCTTCTTTGCAGCTGAATTACGACTGACGTTCTCCACGAGACCAATGATTCGCATGAACGCGAAGGATAAGCTACCGCTGTTGGCCTCATCTGTGTGCATCTAGTAATTCACCTGCTCTTGTGGAGCCAGGTATATCGGCCGTACTCAGCGTTCGATATCCAAACGCGTCAACGAACATTTACTTTCATGGTTTTATAAAGGAGAAAACCGATGCCCCCGCAGCTCGATCCTTGAACATTTGATCGAATCCGGACACCAAGTCAAACCACAAATAAACTTCAAAGTTATCTACAGAATACAAGGCAATCTTGCTAAAAGTGTATGGATCAAACTTTTCCACATCGCAGAAGCAATGGCAATTCATCTGCTAAATCCTGAACTCTGCACACAAAAGAAATTCGTTCACTCATTAAATCTACAATGCACGTAATCTTTCTTAATTTCAGTCTTACTAATTGTACTATTTTGCCTTTTGCATTTTATTATTTCACATCCTCATTTGTATTATTCTCTACCCCACCTTTTTGTAATCTCTACCCTCATTAACAATGTTGCTAACTCGACCCACGTCCAATTTCTAGTCAACTATATTACGTCATCCAATTAACTTACTTAATTTTCAACTGTATTATTCTCTACCCCCACCCTTATTTAATTTTAACCATCACTCATTAACACTGTTGCCAACCTGACCTACTCTGAATTCTACTCAATTGTATTACGTCATCCAATTCACTTAATCAATTTTATTTTATTTTCTATCTAATTAACGTTTGTTTCCAAGCCAAATAATACTTATATTACGTAATTATCTAAACTTTATAAATCTAATGTACACACACACAAACAAAATTGTATATAAATGCGATTGTACAGCTCAGTGAATGAATTCGCCGAAAAGAGTCTCTTCGCTGAACGCCTTCTTTTCTTCTATATATCTCTCTGTGTTCACTTTACTGTATTACCCTTTCAAACCGAAGATTTGTCCCACCAAACCTAAACCAGAAACTTATGTGTTTACTTTTGTGGCGTGTGCTACTGACAAGGTTTATCAGCAGGCACAGATTGGTAGGAAGTAGCCAATATTCAAAAACAACATTTTAAGACAGTAGCTACAGAAGTAGAAGCGTTTATTCCTCAAATCTGGATCTAGCTTACGTTGTGGTCAGGAAATAATCTTATTTGACAGCTTTTTCATCTTAAGGTTTAACCTTCAGAAAGCAGCAGTCAGTCAGGACAGTTTATCATTCATTGAACTAGCCGACCCCAAATGTGGCTAAAAAGTGTATAATTATGGTGTGTTTCTCTTCAATAAGAAAGTTCATTGTCAAGTCTCTTCTCTTTTCCCGTTTCACCTTGATATTGTTAATATCAGCAAAAAACTCTGCTCAGAAAGTTATCATTAGATAAACCATGCTACATTAATGTCTGTTATGTAGAATAAAATTCTATTATGAGACTTTGGTAATTCTTTCATTTACCTAAAGTTTCTTATTTCATTAGGTGAATGTACAATTGTTGAATAATTCATCCTTTCTTTTAAAGCTTAGATGGCCAAGTTAAACTACTAATCAGCGAATGGCATCGAATGGTTCAATGAGGTTCATCTACGTGAGTTTAAGGTTGTTTTCCGCTCGATTCGTGTTGAATGCCTGCTCGGACGAAGTTACGCCTGCAAGTTCGATAAGGATAAGGTTTTGAAGTATTGCCTGGATTTGGGGTTGCTAAGGAAGGAGAGGATTTATTCATGTGGAAGTGTCATGAGTTTAAAAAGCTTTAGCAGGTCGATTGATGGATATGTCTATCGTTGTGCAATTTGCTTGAGACGAGTTAGTATTAGGGAGGGTAAGCTGATGATGATTGCTAGTTCCATTTCTCCTACCCAGTTTGTATATTCAATTCTGGTTTAAAACAGCCTGTGAGAGGAGCTGCTGAAACTAAAATAGCCTCGTGTCAACAGTCAGTGGTACCAGCACTGCAGAGAATAGACTCATGGAAAATGGAGAGAATTATTGTTGTTAGGCGGAGAAGGTGTCGTCGTACACGTGGACGAAACTGTCTTATTGAAGGAAATATACAATCGTGGTCGTGAGCGAGCCAACAATGTTTGGGTAATTGGTTTATATGAAACCTCCCCACGAAAAGGATTCGTGGAGAGAATAGCAGACAGAAAGTCTAATACCTTAGTACCTATTGTCACTCGACTGGTGAAACAGGGATCTATAGTACATGCTGATGAATGGAAAGGTTATAACTCGCTGTCACCACTTGGATATATTCACCACAGAGTGAACCATTCTAATGATTTTGTGGATCCCATTACAGGGACACACATCAGTTCTATAGAAGGCTTTTGGGGAAGATTAAAAAATAGGACTAGGGCTATAAATGGATCTCAAAAAGATGTCATATAGTCATTTGGATGAATATTTGCATAGAATGTGGTGTAACTTTCCTGTTGACACTCCTATGGTAAAATGGGATATGTTTCTGTCACATATTAGAGAAAGATACCCTGTGTAACAGTTTTATGCAGTTTTTATCCTTTTTTTTCATAAATATACGTTTTCCATAATCAAAAGTCTCCCTTTCATGTGATTGGTTCGTTGAAAATCGTTCGCTGATTGGAAGTTTAACTTTGCCGTTTAGACCTTCAGTATAATTACTGCTTAGTATATTGAAATACAACTTCATTGACTAAGGTTTGCCTAGAAAACTGTTTTCACTTGATACTGCAAAGAAGTTTTCGTGTACATCAAACTGCCAATACCTATGATGATGGGTTTGAAAGATCTACAGTTGGGCTTGTTAATTTGTTATCTGGACATATGATTCTGTAGGCAGATTTTCCAGAATTAGACCAGTCATCACCTTTAGTCTTCCTTTTGGGGAAAATTATGTTAGGTGTATTGATTAATTTTTACTGAGTAACCGGTATTATGTGTTTCCTGATAAGTGTCGTTCTTGTTGCTGTTGTCTGAATTCTGACTGGCAAAGTTAAGTCAGCCTCAACACCAATGACCAGAAACATGTCGCTAGTGACTCCCTTGTGACTCATCAGTTATCCACTATAGTCCTACTGGAAGTTACTCGCGAGGCTGAATATTTCAGTGGTAACGTCTTTCACTGCAACACCAAAGGATGAGGTTCGAATCCTAGGAAGGAAATCGGGTTCTTCGACTTTGAAAATATCCCTTGCCCATTTGTAGAGTTCCCCTCCCCCGATTATCTTCAACTGTGTAACACATGACAATGTTGCACCACCACTTACTTACTGCTCCAGGGTAAATTTGAAATACAACTAGACTGTCGAACAATATATTAGAAAATTTATAATTTTTTGAATAAACTTACGATTCAATTACGTAGAAATTGTCCCCATCATCACCTTGAGAAATGACTACTTCACCTTGCTTCACTTTCATTTCTTGCATTGCATCAATAACTCTGGATTTTTGTTCCTTGAAATAAACAACAACAAAAATGCAACACTAAATGAAAAGATAACGGATCATACAATATATTACCAACTGAGTAACTGACTGATGTGAATATGTGGATACCAGATGGAAGTGATCTAAACACTAGACTGCCATTTCTCTTGTTTGAAGGCCAAGCACATCAGCAGTGTACCCAGAATCACTCAGCTCAGACAGTTGATACAGTGGAACTATTCGATTACTGGTTAGTCATTTCATCGGACTGATGATATTTTGATTAGACACCAGTAACTAGTGTGATGTGTCTAGTCCTTTCTTTTGGTGCAGACTGAATTCTATTAGTCAGGTTTGCAATGTGGCCACCATTCTAGGTAGCTCGCCATCACGGTGCACATTGATTTGATGATATTAGATAGTCGAAAGCAATCGACAGGAAGCCTTATTCGATCTGGGTTTCGTGCTAGTTGGCACTCATGTCTCATGTCCCTTCTGAGATTCGAACCCACGTCACCCAGTGACAGCTGCAGTCAGAGACGTTACCCCTGAGCCTTGCTGACGAGTGCCAACTAGCACGAAACCTAGGTCAAGCAAGGCTTCCTGCCAATTGCCTCCAACCATCTCATATCATCAAAGAACTGATGATATATTGGATCCAATCTGTGATTTGCAATTTACACAGTACGCGATGAAATTCCATCTCAGTTTCCGCTGGAAATCGAGACTATTCAGATCACAATATATGTGTGATCTGCTAGACAAGATAAATGCATATTTAAATTACAAATTTGGTCCGATAGTTAAATAGATTTTTTATACTTCCAGCAACGTAATGATATTTTAAGAAGTACAATCGGCCTAAATGAAAATGTTAGGAAAAGCTGAACATCACTGACATATATGGCGATTAACTAACAGGCTGATTAGTGGAGGAACCTGAAAAAACTTGTATCATTTCAAGGTTACCTACACTTAATAGAAGCATACCGGGTAGGCAAAAAGCAATTGAATGACGCTAAAAAATATAGGGCATATATATATATGATGCATAGAGTATTCGGCATAAGTATGCTGAAAAAGAACGGAAGAGATCTCAAGGGAATCACCACTTTCACTTGCGAAGGCAGTATCCTTTAACTAAAGACGGCAGAAATAATGTCAAAGGATTGGAAAGGTAAGACAGATTTTTACTAATCTGAAATCTGCTTGACTGCACTAAGATAAACAACTTTCTATCAGGAATTAGCAAATGGTCTTCGTCTAACGGCCTTAAACTTAATCCTTCCAAATGTCAGACTGTTAATTTCAGTTTCCGATGTAAACGAAAGTTAAATGAAGCCGTTGGTTCCTATGACCCTTGCAAAATTGATGATATTGATATAGAAACCAAGTTTGAAGTTAAGTATCTTGGATTAATTCTCTCTTCTGACCTATCCTGGTCCTCTCATGTCTTAGCGATTTCTAAAAGAATATTTCGTCTGACTTTTTACATTAAGAAGTTAAGGCACTCAGGCATAACTCAACCACTCCTCTTACAGTTTGTCAACTCGTGTATTTTACCTATTCTTCTTTACTGTTCACCCTTATTCTTTCCTGGATTGCTTAAAAAAGACTATGTCATACTTCGTAGAACTCTGAAGACTGTCAGTAGGACGAGTGGTATCCCATTGGGCCATATCGTTGACATTGTCACTGATAGGCATTTGATGTCATGCAACAAATTTGCTAAAGGAATTTTGTCAGACTCTGAGCACCCACTCTACCCGCAGCTCCAACCTTGTGTCTCCTCAGGTAAAACAAGAAGTCTTTTCAGAAGAATTTATGCACGTACGTCTAAGTATAAAAATTCCACTATACCATATTTAGCACGTACTTTATGTGATGAAAATAGTGTCAGACATGAACTAACTAACCTTCTTAGCACCACTAAATAAACCATTTCCTCCACCCTTAAAGCATCATACTTTATTGTTATTGTATTTCTTATATTTATAATCCTCTCAATTTTTTCGTTTTGTTTATTTTTTTTCATAAGTGTGGACATAATTTAAGCTGTATTATAACTGTTAATTTTGTATTTCCCCTCACTATACTATATCAACAGAACATTAGATCCAATAATCTATAACATGCTAAAGTTTCCAAACTGAATCGACAATACCGTTTGAAACAAACTCACTGTTATTATTATTATATTTAATAATCTCAATTCATGCTTCGAATATTTTTGACTTTATGTCGTAAATGTGGACAAATTCCTCCGATTAATTTTGTTTTAATTTTTAATTTTATTTATATTTTGAGTAAATCAGATGCAATATTGTGACAAATGCTGAGAATTCCATTCTGTATTATAAGTACTGTTTTTGGAATAAAGTAGATTATTATTATTATTAAATCTACTTCAGCATTGAGCCAGTGGAGGAAGCTGTTTAATGAAAGTCTGAGGTAGCCTTCTGAAAATGCTTTTGATGACGTAGGCACCAAGTTCATCAATTCGTGTATAAGCACTGAATTAAAATTTTATACCTGAGAATTAAGATCTCATTTCATGTGCTGTTGGTAGAGATTTCCACACTGATGCGATCTTTTTTCAATCCTGCTAAGCTTTGAAATCCTCATTTATGCCTCCTGTAGTTGAAAAAATGCGCTGCATAACTAAGTGAAAGAGGTGACTTCCCCTTAGGTTTAGCTTGCTGATGGTGACTAGTCAGCAGTTTACTTAATCAATTCCTGCAGAACAACTAGTACTATTTAGTTCAGATTAAAACCGATCAACAACAGAGAGGGATCTCTGGCAATGAGCGAACCAACTCAGCAGGAACCGATTGTGAAACAAATAGGCAGGAAGAAATGGAGATGGATTGGCTGGCCATACTCTGAGGAAACAAAGCATCAAGTGACATCACTAGACAAGCCATTGCTCGAGTGGAACCCGAATAAGGGAAGCGGCGAGTTGGTCGTCAGTGCGAGGGTGGGTGACTTGGAGGAGGTGATGTGAAGAGGAGATGAAAACGTGTGGGCAGACATGGAGCCAGGTGAAGACTCTAGCAGAGAAGCGAACGCAATGGAGACGCACGGTTGAAGCCCTATGTTCCTCTAGGAATTAAAGGAAACAATAATAATGATATAATAATAAAACCGATAGCTAAGCGTTATCAATCATTTATGAAGCATAGTCATAGTAGGAATGAAAACGAAATTTATACTTTAATCCTTTTTTTTTAACTACTAATGATTTATTGCTGGACAGTTAGTTTATTTTTCGTATGGGTTTCTGTGGAATTCAGGGAACAAAAACGAAAAACACCACTACTTAGAACAATCGCCTGATGAACAGACACTTTCAGTAGAGACAACCACCATATTCCGAACGGAAGTCTATCTACATCAGTCAAATCCACTATGAAGTTTCCATTTTATTCTACTGAATTTAATTTTTAGGAAAATTTACTTCCTTTCCTGTCTTTTAGTTGATAATTGATTGCAGATTATGTAGGAAAAAACGGTAAATCACTTGTCCTTTTTTTTTTAAACATGTATTTCCGTGCTAAAACAGTTTCGTGATGTGATTGTTAGATTGACACAATGTCGCAAAAAAGTACCCGTGTTTAAAAAAATATATAAATAACAGCCAAGTTGTTCTTCAGGCAAAAAAGGATGTTAATGGTGATGAAGAAACGATGTTCAACGTTTTACTGACCAAAAGACCCTGAATGAAAACTGCAAAAATAAGAAAGAGAGTGAAGCAAGTGATTGGTCTGTGGGCGAATTTAAACTATCAGGTCCCATGGGTGCGGACGCTCCAGTGACCTTGAATGCGTGCTAGTCATTGGTTAACAAGACCTATCATTATTGTAGCGCTAATATGAACGCTATTCACTCACTAAGGAACAAGTTTTACCCAGATCACGTTCTTAAGTACTATTTGGATAATGTGTTAAAAGCTGTTTAGGCTTAGGATTAAGGTTAGGGTTAGAGTTATGGATAGGTATGGAGTTGGTATTATTTATTTTAATTTGTTTTAATATCCACAATTTGCTGGTAAGTAGTCGTCGATCCTCTCGCTAGAAACAGTAGCAATCAACCGAGGGCTTCCGGGAAAGACTGCAAAACAGGATAAGAGCGATAAACGAGTCATAAAACGCTCACCTTAAGTCATCTCGATGAAAACATGCACAGAAACTGTTCTCACCTAAAATACTGACACTCCTTATTATATAACTGGGATGTATTTTTTGTTATGTCGGAGAAAGATACCCTGTTTAACGTGTTTTCATGCATTTTCTTGTAAAAATGAACGTCTCTTTTGTGTGAAAATCACCCATTTTATGACTGGTCGGCTCAATGTTGCTTGTGAGTTCTAATCTCGTTTAGACATGATAGTTTAACTTTGCCGATCTGTGATTAATTGCATACTATCTCGAAATTATTTTCCATGGGTGATTATTATTTTTTTCACTTCATTCCTTTACATTCCCAGTGAAACAGAAGGCTTCAAGCTACAGCTTTGAAGTTTCGGTATTAGTGGTTTTATTTGCGTTTTTTACGGGTTGGGGTTGCTAGCCTTACACCCAACCTTCCCTCTCCACTAACTAGTCTTATTACTGACTAAGCAAGGTTTAGGGGTACTTCGACCGGTAATCGGAATGTCCCCAGTTGGCAAGAGTTCCACCGCTGAACTACCGACGCACCATCTACCATGACTAGAAGGTATATTTTGCATAAATGAACTGAATGAACTATTATTGGAAGTATTACCATGCAGTTGTGTTTATCATTACAGGATACATCTGTTATCTTCAAAATTAAGCCGATGAACAATCCACACTGGATGCCTGACCAGTTGATTCTAAGAATCTTAACTTCTAATATTATTAGCAAATATCATTTTGTGAACACATTTTCATAAAATTAAATAAATATATAGTAAAATTTTAGAAAGAACAATTGTAAGCGACCAATATTATTCTCATTAAGATATCATCAGGCTTTATTTAATCTAATACACCTGCATAACTTTA